TTCTCAAACCTGTCCTGGAGGACTCCTAGCCCTGCACATTTTGTATGTCTCCCTTATCAGACACACCCAATTAATGTCTTGCACTCTGTACTAATGAGCTGATGAGTTGAATCAGGTGTGTTAAATAAGGGGGACATACTGTACAAAATGTGCAGGGCTAGGAGTCCTCCAGGACAGGATTGAGAACCACTGCATTAGATATTATGCAAAGGTTTCCCAAAGTATTATAGATGATAAAACCACGCTAAAAATTTTTGTCAACTGTAACTATAAGATTATAAGATTACAATTTGGAATGGACTGTTTGCATTATAATTGTATCCTAAAACAAAAATCAATAAAGAAAGAAAATGTACAGAACGTTACTGAGCAACTCATATTGTCTTATTGTCTATATTGTTTCTCAAAGGACCTTGTGGATCTCCGGATGGATCTTCAAAAATTTCCAGAGAATTATTGTTTTAGTCTGACAGATAGGGGTTTAAAGTGAATGTCTGACTCCCAAGTAAATCACACCTTTTTTTCTCACTAATTGAAAAGAACAGCTGCCCTTTTTTCATTACTTGTGCATATTTTAGTTCAAATAAAAATTCGAGCCCCTGTCCCTTTAATCACTGAAAAAAAGGAAGCTGTGTGTTGTTTTCCTCAAGCACATTTTCAGTGAACTTGAAAGAAAAGTACCTTCAACTTTCTTACATGGGCAGAAAGCAGAAAAATGATGAGAAAAAGGAAGAGCTAAAAACAACTCTCATTCTGCAATGTCGATACTCAGAAATGGATTTGAATGTCTTTATGAGGAATATGTCTCTGACTATGTATATAAGAGGGCGTTTAGACGTTATTCTGGACACAACAGCTCTGAGATCTTCAAGCTCTACAGAACTTCTTTCATTCATTGTGAAGAAACATCTTGAAGAATGAGAAGCCTGATGTCTGTGCTGTTCCTGGTGATCTTCTGCTCTGTGCAGATGACTTCAAGCGGTGAGTGCTCTTTTGCATTTTTATTTTTGAATTAAAACAAAAAGGATCGTTTTCAAATTATTTATGGAAGTTTCATTTGTTGCATTTTGTGATTTCAAATGTGGTGGCATGATCAAATAAAAGCATTTGTCCTATTTCTCCATATTTCAGCTACAATTGCACTTGCAGCAGCACAATCTAAGTGTTGTGGAGAGCTCACTGATGTGAAGATTCCTCTGAAACAAGTGACTTCTTACTACTGGACCAGCAGCAACTGTGCCAGACGCGCTATTGTGTGAGTATCATCAACATTATCTCATTTTCAAACTGTAAAATTCAATTTGTATGATACACTCCATTAAAAAACTTTGATTGTGAGTATCATCAACATTATCTCATTTACAAACTGTAAAGTCAATCTGAATGAGATACTCAAACATTTTTTAAAAACTTTTGATCTATATTTTATTTTTGTCTCTTTCCCATCAGGTTTCAGACAAAAGCAGGGAAAGAGTTCTGTGTTGATCCAGAGAGCACCTGGGTGAACGGCCATGTTGATAAAGTGGACAAAAGAACAACAGTCTAAAAGAAGCTACACTGTTTCTATTTGAACTGTGCATTTCATTTTGTATATTCAAACCTTGTGTTATTTCCAATGTGTATATAAAATATTTTATTGACAGAATAATTTATGTGATTGGTTGAGTTTTTTAAATAAAATATCAGTGATAAAATTATCAGAATGTAGTAATGTTTTTATTCTCTATTGCATACAGGTATATTACATTTTATTAAAATGTATGTTTTATGAGAAAGAGTTCTGTGTTGATCCAGAGAGCACCTGGGTGAACGGCCATGTTGATAAAGTGGACAAAAGAACAACAGTCTAAAAGAAGCTACACTGTTTCTATTTGAACTGTGCATTTCATTTTGTGTATATAAAATATTTTATTGACAGAATAATTTATGTGATTGGTTGAGTTTTTTAAATAAAATATCAGTGATAAAATTATCAGAATGTAGTAATGTTTTTATTCTCTATTGCATACAGGTATATTACATTTTATTAAAATGTATGTTTTATGAAACAAAAGCATTTGTTTTAAATATCTCAGTCAGTATTATAGATGTATTATAGATGATAAAGTATTAAAGTAGATGATAAAACCATGCTAAAAATTCTTGCTTTTTTCTGCTGATGTCACAACCTGCCAGATTCAAACAGGTTTTGTGCCTTCACAGAAAGACACACTGGATCACTCATAATCACACAAAGGTGCTCAGACAACCTTTACAAGCTCATAATTAGTTTCTTTTATTTTATTGATATCCAAATCACAGTTATAGAAGTAACAAATAAGAAATGGAATGGCCTTTTCATGCAACTATGCTTCATTATTTTATAGGCCTATAAGAGACCCAAACCACAGAGTAACTATAAGTTTATACTGCAAATATGCACACTAATGTCAACATATGAAAAGCGGTCATCTATTGGTAATTGGTAATGTTAATGGTCATCTTTTCAAGGCTGTAAAAAGCTCTACTGCTGTTTCTGTTTCACTGTTTGCAAGGTTTTGTGTCTGTTTCTCACATAAAAGCATAGTTCCAATACATTTGTTTATTTAAATTGGCCCACTATGCAGTAGAGTCACAATGTCTTTTAAAAATTGTGTATTTGGTAAGCTGTAGAAGGTTGTTGAAGGTATTCAGGTGGTAATATTAGTGTAATTTCTCAAAGTAGAATATCTACATATTGTCTATTCAGAGTATATTTTTATACAAGCATAAAATTGTGATTTTGTGTTTCTGGTACAGAAGTGAGGTCGAAGTGTGTGTGTCGAAGGCCTTATGCTTAATATAGTAACATAGTGGTCCTGATTTACAAAGAGGCACCACTATGTTACTATATTAAACATAAGGCCTTCGACACATACACTTCGACCTCACTTCTGTACCAGAAACACACAATGCTATGGTCTCTTCAGAGACAGTAATTGGAGGATATTTGCTTTCCTTCCTCACTGAGGGCTAAGCACCCCTAAAGATTAATAAAAGTGAGTTTAGAGCTAACTTCAATAAAACACACCTGAACCAGTCAGTCGAAGTCTTTGGGTTTACTTGTGAGCATAGAATCAAGGTTTAGCATCTAATATTTTATTAAAGTACAATTCAGATTTAATAATCAGATTTAGCACGGCACATGATGGTTTTCCTGCTGAATTTTTTCAGATATTGCATGACAAGCTTGGCGGTTACATTTTGAGGGCTTTTCTAAAGCATTTGAAGAATCATCTGTTTCCGATGTTATGAATACAGCCGTAATTTCACTTGTCTTAAAAAAAGGGAAAGACCCTGAACAGTGTGGCTCATACAGGCCCATAAGCTTATTAAATGTTGATATAAAAATACTGGCTAAAATGTCAGCAAAACGATTAGAATCGATTATTCCTAGTATAATTTACCCTGATGACGTTTATTTCATATTATGAACTATCTTGAAAGAACTTCAGAGTCAGGCCTTCTAGTGTCAATTGATGCAGAGAAAGCATTCGATAGGGTGGAGTGGAGTTACCTGTTTGAGGTTATGAAGAAATTTGGCTTTGGAGATAACTTCTCTAAATGGATTAGCTTGTATACGAATCCTAAAGCCTCTATAATAACTAATAATATTGTTTCATCCTCATTTGATCTTCACCGTGGAATATGTCAAGGTTGCACACGCTCACCCGTATTGTTTGCTATTGCTATAGAGCCTTTAGCAATATATGTACGACAGAATGAAAAAATTCATGGTGTCTATTTGGGGAAAAAACAACAAAAAATAATGCTTTATGCAGACGACGTCATTCTCACTCTTAGCCAGCCTGAACTTTCACTGATGGAAATTGTTAGGTATCGAAAAATTTGTGTCTGTCTTTGGCTATAAAGTTAACTTTCATAAATCTGAAATTATGCCAATCGGGATGTATAGTAAAATTAAGCCTTTATATAGTGAACCTTTTCGATGGGTACGCCAAGGGATAACATATCTGGGTATACGTATACCACCGAAACTTGTATCACTATATCCATCAATTATAAAACCTTTGATAGTACAGGTTAAGAAAGATTTGACATGTGGGTCTACTCTTCCTGTTTCTTTCTTAGGAAGGATAAATGTAATTAATCTTTGGCTATAAAGTTAACTTTCATAAATCTGAAATTATGCCAATCGGGATGTATAGTAAAATTAAGCCTTTATATAGTGAACCTTTTCGATGGGTACGCCAAGGGATAACATATCTGGGTATACGTATACCACCGAAACTTGTATCACTATATCCATCAATTATAAAACCTTTGATAGTACAGGTTAAGAAAGATTTGACATGTGGGTCTACTCTTCCTGTTTCTTTCTTAGGAAGGATAAATGTAATTAAAATGATTCCCCTGCCCAGAATCTTATATATTCTTTCCATGTCCTTTCTTCAATTTTCTTTAAATGATCTTAAAGTAATAAATTAATTAATATCTAAATTTATATGGGCAGGCAGGAAACCTAAGATTAAAATGGATGTTCTACAGCAACCAACAGGTAAAGTTGGATGGGCAGTGCCAAACTTTAAATTGTATGCTTGGGCAATACAAGCGCGAATAATTATGAGCTGGATTAATAAACCTCCTGATGCTTTGTGGGTTGAAATAGAAATGGTCTTATGTGGCACTTCTGAATTAGTGAATCTCTTAGATGACAAGATCTCAGTTCCTTCTGAATTGAAGAATTTTTCTCTTATATTTGCAACTTTGCAAGCTTGGTCTGCTATTAAAAGATTTCTTCATTATAAACAACCCTTATCTATTCTTTCCTCACTGGTAGAACACTCTGGTTTGTGTCCTAAAATGGGAGCATATTTTTTCTCATGGAAGCAAGCTGGTGTAAATCACATATATGATCTATTAAGGTGAATTTATGACATTTGATAAGATTATGTCTCATTTTCATATTGCGTAAAAAAGACTTTTATAAATATTTACAAGTTAGACATTATTTTAGTATTAGGAATGGCGCACTCTCCATCGGAAATTATGATCATTTTTTGGAGAATTTTTTTCTTTGTAGTTCAGACACTCAAAAATGTGTATCTAAATTTTACTCAGTGTTATATGAGCATAGGCAGAACAAGCTTATTGATCTTCAGAAATCCTGGAGTAAAAACATTGGGTATGATATCGATGCTGCTTCATGGGAAAACATTATTAAACTCCCTGTTACTATTTCTGTTTGCAATAAATTTAGAGAAATTCAGTTTTATATAGTACATCAAGCCTATATGTCACCATATAGATATAGCAAATTTAACAAACAGGTGTCACCTAACCGTATGAAGTGTAAAAATTCCCTTGGTACTTTGTTCCATTGTCTATGGGAATGTAAGAAGTGGGAAAAATTTTGGATTTTAATTTGTGAGGCCCTTTCAGATGTTTGTAAAGTTACAGTTAAAGCTTCACCTAATATGTGTTTACTCAGCATTTTGCCTCCTCCTTTACAGGAACATAAAGACATTATTCATCCTTTGTTGATGCCGGCAAGGAAAGCCATTATGAATAAATGGGTTGGAGATAGCTCTCCCTTATATAGGGAATGGATATTTATGATAAAATACCTTATATCCCTAGAAAAATTAAGATTCAATCTTATGGGTAAACTTATGTTATTTAACAGAATGTGGGAAGAACCACTGAGATCTTTGGGGGTTGGTGAAGAACCCAGCATGGTATCCATAATATGAGAAATTAAATATAAATCTACATACCCCTAATTATTTATTTAGTTATAAAAATATGGCGATATAAATTGGACATGATTGTTTTTGTTTTCCTCCATTATGTGTTATGGTGAATATTCTGTATGTGTTTTCTCTCTCTTTTTTTTCTTTTGATATGTTTTTGTTACTTTTGTTTATATTATTGTTATTATTATTATTATTATTATTGGCTTTTCTGTTGTGATCCTGATTTGTAATATGCTTTGTGTGCTACCCACTGGTTGCTGACCAATTAATCAAAAAATTAAAATAAAAAAAGCAATCTTTTTGTTTAACTTCTATGTAAACATTTTTTATTTTAAAGACAGCAGTAAAGATAGATGGTTAATCCAAAAAATAAAAAATAAATATAAGAAATAACTGCAGTGCTCTGCATCCATATCTACAGCAATTTCTTCTAGACAACAGAGACACTTAAGCAACTCCTCATAAGATACTAGTAATTTATAAGACTGTAAATGTTTTAAAAAGACAGTTACACACTAAAAGTGAATAAAATAAGTTTATTACTGTAAAGAAACATCATGCAATTGAGGTTTCATGTTCAGTGCTTAAAATGCATGCTTAAATGAGACTATCCAGGCCAGTCTTGAGCAAAATGTTCAGCCTGACTGTTGTTGCAGCGCATTACAATACAAATGTGCAAATGTGATGCAATACAAATGGTGGAAAATGCAGAGTGGGTGATTTTAAAACCACACATAGTGAAACAACAGTGTTAATTCCATTCACAATCAATCTACTTCCTTCTTTCTTAGTGCAGCATCTAAATACTGAGTGGGTAAAACGTTTGTTCTCATATTAAGAAAGTCTATAGGCTTCATATGATGGTGTAACTGCCTCATTTGAAGAAATAATTCTCACAGTTATAAGGAGAAGTGGTCTCCCTTATGAAAATTAACCATGGTTTTACTACAAATAAAACCAAAACTATGGTTACTATAGTTGAACCTACCATACACTCTTAAAAATAAAGGTGCTTCACGATGCCATGGAAGAACCTTTTTGTCTAAATGGTTCTATAAAGAACTTTTAACATCTGAAGAACCTTTCTGTTTCACAAATGGTTCTTTGTGGTGAAAGAAGGTTCTTCAGATTATAAAAAGATAAGCAAGAGATGGTTCTTTAAAGAACCTTTGACTGAATGGTTCTTTGTGGAACCAAAAATGATTCTTCTATGGCATCGCTTGAAGAACCTTTCGAAGCACCTTTATTTTTAAGAGTGTAGTTTGTTACACTAACCATAGTTTAACCATGGTATTTGTTGTAGCGTCTGGACCAATCAAACACACAATATATATTTTAACGTTCTTAGAATTGACAGACAGTTGACCCTGAGAGGTCAAGTAAATATCTACAGCGGATCTAAATATTTATAATTAATTATAACTAGTTATGATTAATTATTCATATTTCCCCATGAGCTGATTCGCTACATTGTAGTAAATGCCAGGGGAATAATGGGTAGTAAGTAAAGTAAGTATTTGTAGTAAAACTGTGGTTATAATGGAAATCAATATGCCAAAAAAAATATATATAAAAATCAACACTACACTTTTACTATAATAAAACCATGGTTAATTTTCGTAAGGGCTGCAAAATAGAAATGTGAAGAAAAACTGTTATGGACAAAAATACTAATATCTGAGATAAAGCAAGTCAAGTTTAAAACGATTAAGGTCAATGTTAACATGTTAAACGATTGCAGAAATGTTATTCATTTTAAGGGTTTAATGTGTAGTCTTATTTAACATTATGTATTCTTTGAAACAAGCAGCACAACTCAAACAGAACAAAACGAAATAATTTCATATATATAAAACATAATGCCATTGGTATGACAACTGAATAAGGATTTTTTTCTAAGTCTGTAAAATAACTTTATACATACATCACGTTTTAGGTGTTGTCAATATGTAATTATTATATGTTTAGATGCTGTAAATATGTCAGAATTGTAAGTTTCAGTGTCTATTGCAAACATAAGTAAATGTACGTTCTAAGTAAATGTACTGTAGAACCGTTTTACGAAAATACGTACAAATTTTTCATCATAAGTTGGTCCTCAGTACTGCATTTACTTGAATATCTGTTGGAGAAATATCTCTTATACTAAGTAGGCTATTATAAGTTCATCTGTGCATGCTCTGAAATGTCTTTTCAGAATACTTACCCTTGTAAAATATTCACATGGTTTCTTTAAAAGGAGAATCCACCTAAAAATAAAAGTGTGCAGTTTTTATTAAAAGCGCGAAATTAATTTCAGAATGTTCAAGATGCTATTTTCTTACTAAGTAAGTTAATGACCATGACAGTGTTTTAAAGAAACAGTTCATTCAAAAATGAAAATGTACTCAAATTTTACTCATCCTCAGATCATCCAAGATGTACATGAGTTTGTTTGCTCATCACAACAGATTTTGAGAAATGTAGTATTACATCACTTGCTCACCAATGGATCCTCTGCAGTGAATGGGTGCCGTCAGAATGAGAGTCCAAACAGCTGATAAAAATATCACAATCAGCTGCTTGAACTCTCATTCTGATGGCACACATTCACTGCAGGGGATGCACTGGTAAGCAAGTGATGTAATGCTAAAATTCAAGAAATAAACTCATACACTGGATAACCTGAGGGGGAGTACATTTTCAGCAATCGGTCATAAATTTCAGATTTAAATTAGACCAGTCTATATTTTGATGTGACAGACTTAAAAATGTTATGACCCATCTTAAAGAAGAAGAAAAAAAAGACAATAGACTAATTTGTAAGACTAGTCTGAACAGTTTATGCAGTTCCTTTTCATTCTGAATATGACTGATTTAAATTAATTTGTATTTGCATCAATTATATTATTATTTGAATATATATAAATATATACCAAATTATACTACCAAACTATATTATCAAATGATATTACCAAACTCCCTATTTTATGTCTAGCAAGATGATTTCAGGAAAAACATTATTTTTACCATAAAGAAAAGTAGTAACAGACACAAAAACAAAAAAGGGAACAGATATGGATCCTCATTCATTGTTGCTTCAAAGTTCTGTGAATGTCTGCTCCAAGAACTTCTCTCTAACCTCACTATATAACGGGGACCAAGCAAATCATTCAGCACACATATTTTTAGACCAGATTTTGTGTGAGCAGATATTCTGAAGAATGAGGATCCTGATGTCTCTGTTGCTGCTGGTGCTGTTCTGCTCTATTCAGCTGACGTCAAGTGGTGGGTAGTGATTTGACATTATGTACTTCAACGCAATGACCACTCAATGCAATTCATTTCAGGAAACATTTGACAGTGTTTAATTCAATCTAAGTTTTTGCATGTCCATGCATTTATTTAAACGCTGAAGGTTTAATAAATAATTGTATATTAAGTTTAAAGGTAAACTTTTTGACATTTTGACACTATTTCTAATACGTATTGAACTCTTTCAGCTCCTAATGCACTTGAAGCACAATCATCATGCTGTTTCCAGTTCTATAAAAAGAAAATTCCTTTGAACCTGGTGGTGTCTTTTTACCAGACCAGAAGCAACTGTCCCATATCAGCTATTGTGTAAGTGTCCTCTAAAGATTTTCGGAGCCAAACTGAACGAGTCTATTTGGTTAAATATCTTACTTAGAAGTTGTTTTGATGTTTTTTCGGCCCTAGGTTTCGAACAGCTGCTGGAAGGGAGTTCTGTGTAGATCCAAACAGCAGCTGGGTGAACAGCCATATTGCAAAAATGAACAGCAGAACAACCACAGCTACTACAGCAAAGACTCTAAGCACTACAGTATAAATACTGTATCTTGTTCAGTATTTAATGGGGAAAATGTTCATAATTATTTCTCTGTTATTTCTGTAGAGCGATTATTTATCATGCTTTTACTAGAATAAATGTTATTAATATTTAATTAGTCTAAATTATATTGCATTGTACACCAGCTGCATCAAAAGCAGTTTTCTGTATGTTTGAATAAATGTGAAGTTGCATTGTTGTGTTTTGTGGACTTTAACATGTCTTTTTTATAATAGTAAAATTGTAAAATAAAATAGTAAAATAGTAAAAGTGAATTTCTAAAGTTGTCTTTTGATGGAGATCTTTCATAATAATACGTAATTTTCCATCTGAGCTGATTCAAATAATGAGCATTTGTTTTTCCAGCTCATTTTTGAGAATGAATTAATTCTGAATTGGGTATTTTAAAGGGGTCATATGATGCGATTTCAATTTTTCCTTTCTCTTTGGAGTGTTACAAGCTCTTGGTGCATAAAGAAGATCTGTAAAGTTGCAAAGACTAAAAATTATATCTACTAACTAAATCCACGCCTAACTAAAACGGCTCATTCTAACACGCCCCCACATACCTAAGTCACGATGTGGGAAGATTTGCATAACGCCGCCCAAATGGATCGCCGGATCGGCTTTCACCGTGGACAAAGCGGAGTCCAGCCCGGGGTCGTCACATGTGGTTGCCGCAAGTACGCCAGCCGCTCCTTCTTCAAATCCGCCGCTGAGGTATTCAGCCAACCACAATGCACTAGATAGCTGGCCAATCAGAGCACACCTCGCTTTTCAGACCGATGAGCTTTGTAAAAATCGACGCGTTTCATAAAGGCGGGGCATAGAGGAGAAACAATAATGTACAGTATGTGGAAAATAATGTGTTTTTTTAACCTTAAACTGCATAAACACATTTCATTACACCAAATACACCAAATAATGTTCTTTTTAGCAACATCATATGACCCTTTTAAAAATGTATTGTATATTTCGAAAATAGTGATTTATCTGTTGTGGTCATAATGTACAATCTGCATCATAATACAATACTTTGAATTACAGACTGACAAAAGCAGGTTTTCCAGCATATTAATTAGTAATATTTTCCATTAGTAATAATGTTTTTTTAAGTATTATATACAATGCTAACATGTAAATTATTTAATTCATGTAGTGTTTATCACACCTACTAATTTTCTCTCTCAGTATAAATGAGTCTTAAACATATATAGCAGCTATTATTATAAGAAGGATGCATTTGTGGATTCACTCTCAGAGATAAAGGTAAGACGGATGTCACTGGGATAAAAAAACAAAAACAAAGTACACCTTACCTAAAGGGTCCATATTGGTATCCTAAAGGTGCATAGCAGCCAATGAGAATCGCAGCACCTCGGACTCAGACGTCAAGGTACAATTCAAAATAGTAAGAGTAGTAGTTTTGAGTATATGGCCAAAATTTGAACCGAAACCGCTACTTTAACAGAAACTTTGACATGGATTAAGCTGCCTGTAAGTACGTGAAATGATCTAGGTTTTCATGTAAACTCTGTCACTGGGGTGGTAACTTCTTAAAAGGTACAATTTTGTACCTTTTAGGTACTAATATGTGTACACTTTAGATAACCAACTATGTTAACATAGCAAAACCACAAACGTGGATGATCCTGCTTAAAACAAACAAACAATAGAAACATCACAGAAATTCTAATGGTTTGCACTATAAATACCATTACAAACATTACAAACCATTAACTATTAACCATTAAAACCATTAAAAATTGTTTCCTGTCGTGTGTTTTGGGCCATATTCCATTAGGATAGTAATTTTAACAAAGGCAAAAAATTACCACTAGAGAAAACCAATATTAAAACCAACAAAACTGATTCAATTCCCATTATAACCAGTAAAACCATTACAAATTCTGTGATGGTTTCTGTTGTTTTTAGTTAGTTAGTTTGTTTGTTTTTGGCTACATTTATGTGACAAACTCGTATATCCTTAGTAAAACTGCAAGTGGATAAAAAATAGAAATCATTTTAATTTCCTTTCAAGGTGTAGCTGGAACACTATGCACTTCACACAATTCACTCTCATAGAAAAACACTTTCACTTTCATCAAATGTTTTATTTATGTTAAAAATTAGAAGACGCTAACAAATGAACAATACTAGGGTTTGCCAACAGACCACTAGGCCTATTTTAAGAAGCAGGGTATTTCCTGTGTGAAATGCAATGTGCTGCATTTTCTCTTATGCATTTTTAGCACCTAACAGCTACGCAAAATAAAGAGGAATTAGATGTTTCAGAGACGGAATGCTTTTTACTTTTCTACGAAAAGATCGTGTTACTGGCTCAGAGAATTAACAAGGGGATTTCTTTCAACACGAAAACGAATTCACCATCTCTGTTTGATGGGCTGCTGACAATTCAGCACATATTCTTCTCTTGACGTATATCTGGAGAATGAAGACCTTCACGAAGTCTTCATTATTGTTTCTGATACTGTGCAGTGCTCTGCATTTTACTTCAGCAGGTGAATCTCTTTATTTTAATAATCAAATCAGATTTTAGCTGTTTCTTTCTGAAAATATTGGATAACTATTACTTGCTCTGTATTTAAAACCTGAAGAATAAAAACTAGTGAAATCTCTCATATATTTTAATAGTAGGATACAATCCAAATTTGTTGTTCCACAGAATATAGGGCATTGCTAGTGTAATGTGCTAGGCTGACATTGTAGTGTAACATCTGCAGGAATATTGTACATACATTTGCAGCTGCGAGGTGTGTGCGTCTTCCTTTTTTTCTTCTTCTTCTTCTTCTTCTTCTTCTTCTTCTTCTTCTTCTTCTTCTTCTTCTTCTTCTTCTTCTTCTTCTTCTTCTTCTTCTTCTTCTTCTTCTTCTTCTTCTTCTTCTTCTTCTTCTTCTTCTTCTTCTTCTTCTTCTTCTTCTTCTTCTTCTTCTTCTTCTTCTTCTTCTTCTTCTTCTTCTTCTTCTTCTTCTTCTTCTTCTTCTTCTTCTTCTTCTTCTTCTTCTTCTTCTTCTTCTTCTTCTTCTTTCTCCAAGCAGAAAAAAAAGCCTTTCTGTCATTGGTCAGGTTTCGCGCTCATTTTTTATTTTTATTTTTTACTGTATTTGGATTTACAGTAAATTAAAAATACTGTATTTTAATGGCTCCAAGAGGATATTTCCCATAATGCAACTTTAAAATACAGTAACATACTGTGTAACTGTTTTACAGTAAAGTACAGTTCATATTACAGTTAAATACTGTGTAATTTACAGAAATCGCTAACAGTGTGCTGTCTTCTGAAGAACAATCTTGTCTTTGAGTATTTGTAAAATTCTGCTCAGAATAATATAACATTTTATCTCGCCAACAGCTCAAAATCTTCCAGTCTCCGAAAGGTGTTGTTTCATTTTCCAATTCCTTATACAACATTATTTTTTAACGCATATTTCATGCAAGCACTTTCAACAAATATATGTGGACTTTTTTCCCTCAGGGTTGACACCTAAAAGTCAATTTTGTGAGAAACCAGACATGTCTTTGATAAAGACAATGACGTGAGCTTCTTCATTGAAAATACAACAATCCAAAATGATACTGTTTAAACGTTTAAACTACTATCATTTGCTTTTAATTTTTTAATCTCCTCATAAACAGAGCTGGTGCGACCAGACAAACAACGCTCACCACAATCGACCCTCCTTCACTCCCCCTTATAGGTATACCTACTTCACCCCAACAATCCACACCACTAATCCCTGCCAGTCTCCACCACCCCTCAAATTCCATGCCCATCCCAGCAACCAGTCCTCCCATCCTGCCAAAAGCCTGAAACACACTGTACGATTTTCGGCTGTCCCAGATGAAAGACTGGCATTGTGAAACAATTGTGGCGATTTCTGTGATCGTGGCTCCTAATCGGTGGACCTGTGTCGTACAGTGAGACCGTTGTCACTCATATTTCAAGAATGAAAAATAGTAATTGATCTGTTATGGTAATTATTTACAATCTGCATCATAATACAATACCGACAAAAACCGGCAAATTTTTGAAACTTTTATGGGCTATTTAGGCCATCATTAAAACAATGAAATCCTTTATCAAAAAAGGACAATAGCAGTCCATTAAGCATATTTTAAACAGCAACAGATTTCTATGCAATTTAAATGACTGTGGTGTTAAAGAGGGATGTAACACCCTGTTTGCTCCAGGTGTTATACAGACATATATTAGAATTAAAGTTAAACTCAGAGCATGTATTTTCACTTATATCCAAACAGATGCTAATGCTAATGAATGAACAGTAAAGGTTCAACAGCAGAACAGTAGGCCGAATATAAGGCAACTGTATAGGAGTTCATTTTAATAAGAAGACTTTTGTGAACAGAAGTAGGGTATTTACATCAAATGCATTATTTTAGCACATTTAAAACCACCTCTACATAAAGAGGAAGAAGGTTCAAAGACAGTGTTGTTTTGTACTTAGAAAAGGCTATGTCACTGGTCCAGAGAATAAGCATAGGGGATTTCTTTCAACATGAAAACTAATTCACTGTCACTATATAATGGACTGCTGGCAGTTCACCACATGCGTTCACTCTCCCTGTCTCTCATGTGGTGTATCATACCTGGAGAATGAAGACCTTCATGAAGACTTCATTACTGTTTCTGATGCTGTGCTGTGCTCTGCAGCTTACCTCAGCTGGTGAGTGCCTGTTTCTGTCATAGAATGTAAACGTTTCAGGCTTCAGATTTAATCTTTTAAAGAGGAAACTTCATTTGAACAAACTAAAACAGGTTTTAAATCTCTTTCTGATAATATCTGATAATATTCGGATAATCTGTATTTTAAAAACCTTTTCAGACACAATGTCAAGTGACTTGGCAAACAGTATCTGCTGCTTTAATGAAACCAGTAAAATACCTCTGAAACAGCTGGAGTCTTATTTCTGGACAAGTAGAATTTGCCCCCTCAAATACACTGTGTGAGTATCCCCCATGTTTAGATGTACACCTATATTATTAACATGCTAGCACTTAATTGTACAGTCCCGTTCCGTATGCACATACTATGTACTTATTATAATAATTTAAATAACTGGGTAATAATTAAGTACTAACCATGAACCTAAACCTAATCATAGCCCATGTAATTACCCTATATTAGCCAGTACTTTCTTAGGTCGGCTAAGTACACAAGTGCATGTACTGTAAAGTAATATGCAACCACTGACATTTATTATTTACTCACATTCATGTTGTTCTAATGCTTTTGTCTGTAATCTTCTTTAGGTTCGTAACAGTTAGGAAGAAACGATTCTGTGGAAACCCTGAAAATGCCTGGGTCAAGCGGGCCATGAAGCACATAGACAAGAAAAGTGCTTCAAATTCAGCAAAATGACTTTTGCATTCATTAGCATTACACCCCACCCCCATATATTATTAGAATTGTGAAACAACTTTTCAGAGTGTTATTATTGTCATGTACATTATTCAAATATTATTTGCCTTGTTGTCTATTATCTAAGTATCTGCCTTTTACCATTTACCATGACTATTCAGTTTAGATTACTTTACTGTTTTATTGGATTTTGTGTCAAGTAGCAGTTTTTGTGTAAATAGTATTATATATATATTAATAAGTCTTTGATTTATTTATTTCTATTGATGCACATTATTGTTTCCAAGTAAATTTTCTAAAAAGCGTCTTACAAATATTATTGTTTAAATTGCATTTATGAAGTCTATTTTATGAACAAAAGAATATTGAACACTGTAATATTCTAAAGGCTTTATTATTATTATTATTATTACTACTACTACTACTACTACTTGAAAATAGGACACAACAACTTTTTGAATATTCCACTAGAGGGCACACGTACATCATTACAGATGAATCAAACCGTTAGACATAAGAGAACGTCTTCATTTAAAGGTAACGTCAAGAGACGATGTTGTAAAGCAGTAATTTTTCATTGATTGTGGTAGGCTATAATAACACTTGCTGGATTTGTGCTGGTCAGACGAAGCTGACAGAGCATTTAAACACAGCTAGGATTATCTTAATAAACTCTGCTAATTTTGCAATGGCTTCGTCTCCTGCTTTCTGCTCTTCTACTTGATAAAATAGCTTACTGTAAAACACTGATTTTGGGTGCCAGACAGGACTTGCTGTCTGACAAAACAATGCTGACAGGTTGTGGGTAGGCCTAGCCTAGAAACCAGGTATCATTTTGTGGACAAAGCCCTAAGAACTTAAAATGGGTGGACTTCATTAATTTTAAGTGTTGTGTTTTATGGGAGATTGTTTGTTTAATGCCGATGATTTCTTTGAAGAAGTATGATGTTTGATTGTTATTCACTTGACGATTTGTATGTGTTCATGATGTTTGAAGGTTTAGGTTATGTATATGCATTTTATTTGCAGGTTAAATGCATTCATGTCCCCTCTGAGTTACATGATTAAACAGATCTATATGCCGCTTCAGATGCAGATTCCAGAAATGTTTTCTTATGTTGGAATGAAAGTGCCTCTTATGCTTACCCAAAGATACAAAATGCATTTACTTGTACGTTTACTTTCAATACGTTTAACATTAAAAAATACTTTTCAACAATAATCACATAAAACTTTACTTAAACCAGCACTATGTAACTTTTTCTGTTCAAAATTTGCTAAACGTATATAATGAGCGAATACATCATGAATTCATCTTCCAAACCGCGTTTTTGTCTTATTCCGAATCACTACGGTACACTTATAATAAGTACTTATATTTGGACTATTGTAGCCTGGTCGGGTCGTCACCGCTGCGGAGTAACACATACCTGCGTGAATCGCCATAGACATAAAGTTAGAGAAGTAGCTCCGGTTGGAATGTTCTTCCGCGGGATGTGTGCAGTTCTGTTTATTAACCGCTAGAGCGCCAAAAGTTACATAGTGCTGCTTTACGTAATATTCTAAACAGTCATTTTAACTTCTACCAAAGTAATTTTCTGGTAAGATATGTGTACATTTACTTAAGTGTGGCTTTCAGGTACTTCATCCACCACTCTTTCTGGCACTAAGCACGGGGCTTGCTTTGGTTATTGCCACCATAATTTCCCCCTGCTCATATGCAGTTTTAGCACATAACAACACCTTCGCATAAAGAGAAAAAGAGGGTTTCAAGACAGAATTTTGTTATACTTAAAAATATAGACCAGTTATGCAGCTCTTTCCTTTTACACGAAAACTATTTCACCGCCTCTATATAAAGGGCTGCTGGTAGTTCACCACATATTCTTACTTTCTCTGCTTCTTGTGTGCTGTATCATACCTGGAGAATGAAGACCTTCATGAAGACTTCATCACTGTTTCTGATGCTGTGCTGTGCTCTGCAGCTTAATACTTCAGCTGGTGAGTGTCTGTTTCTGTCATTTTTGTTCTCTGTCACGGGAACGGGATGTAGGCCTAAAGCATTTCAGGCTTCAGATTAAACTTTTCTGGAGACTTAATTTCAACAATCTAAAATAGTTCTTAGTTATTTCTTTCTGAAAATGTTGGATATCCCTTATTGACTCTGTATTTTAAAAACCTGGAGAATAAAAACATTTTAAAACATGTTGAATCACATTCACTTTTTCAGGTACTAAAGCAATAATGAGCGTTAACAGTATCTGCTGCTTTAAAGAAATCAATATCAGAATGCCTCTGAAACGTCTGGAGTCTTATTTCTGGACAAGCAGCAGTTGCCCTTTCAAACACATTGTGTGAGTATCCTCTCGATATGGTTAGATGTGCACTTATATTGTAACTAATCTTTAGTATTTACTTCACATTCGTGTAGTTTTAATGCTTTTGATGATTTAATCTGCTCTAGATTTGTAAGAGTTCCAGATTCCAAGAAACAGAAGAAAGAAGAGATTCAGAAGAATCTATTCTGTATGGACCCTGACTATAAGTGGGTCCAACGGGCCATTAAGTACTTAGACACATATTTGCATAAATAAGTAAAATTTAAAAAAATTGGTATTGAACTGTAACATTTCAGAGAGTTACTATTGTGATGTGTATTATTCAAATGTGTTGATCTCATCATTATCAATATTATTATGTCAATAGGCTACTGATGTGATGTAAATTTTACTTAGGAGAAACCAGGCTCAGTCGGGCTGCATCACAAGTGAGATATTTTGTATTTTATTTATGAGGTATAAACAAAAGGTTATCAAACATTTGAACATTACTGTTCTAAAGGAAATAGAATAGCATATCATTATTATGATAAATAGGACACGTTGCAAGTTACTACTTTTTGAATATTCCACTAGATGGGCAGGCGTACATCAGATCATATAAATCGCCTCATAATCTGTTCTTCCGAGTCTGTTAATAATTAAAATGATTTCCCTCTTTATTTATTGATTGATTTATTTATTTATGAGATCTCAATACTGACATAATTGTGTGTGTGTGTGTGTGTGTGTGTTTGTGTGTGTGTGTTTGAAGTATTGCGTATGCATCTCCCGAGGTAACTTCACACGGCATCTTTGCCCGCCACTACAAACACCACAATCCTTTGTAAAAATCCAGTAATCCAATGAAAATCGAAGGTGGGCGGGATTTTATGACATCATAACAAGCGGCCAGTCGCTGACCAATAGGGCTTGCATTCTCTAGGAGGAGGACAATCGCCTTTCAGGCTCGCATTCGCAGCATTGTAACATTTTTCCCCGGCCGATGCTCACATGCTTGTTTTTGTTCTGTGCACGTTTACTTCCCTTAAAAATCCACTCATTTAGTCCAAATCCGAATCAGCCGTTAGGGTTCATCATCGCTTCTGCACTCGAGCCTTTTTGAGTCGACTCATCTTTTTATGCCTGATCTATTGGGATTCAGAGTGGGTGTTGTCACAGGACAATGATCGAGAGACCCGACTCAGCTGTTTCCAGCGTTGCAGTGAGTACAATTTTCATGCATTTACCCAAATCTGTCCAGAAAATACATTTAAGGCACATCTGGTTTATGGATTCATGGATTTGCATAGTGGTGGGCGAATTGATTCCTAACGTGACTGTCCCTCTAATCATCTATGTTACGGCAAGCCGTTTTCACATTTATTACTTAAAACTAACTAGCATCTATTTTTATTACTAATTTCACCAATAACTTTTAAACAGATGCTAGTACTCTTTCCAATGTCATCTAGTAGGCTACATATTCAAGTAGTAACTAGTACATTACATTCATTACATACATCTATTATTTTTTGCTAGTCATGATTCCAAGTAACAAGTCACTATTTCTCTGTTAATGATAACAACTTGCAAATTCTGTTGTAATGTGTGGTAATTGTTTGTAGTACTAGTAAAAAGGTAACAACAACAGCTGGAATATATGCAATACACAGATTCCCATAAAATGTAATAGCTAATATTTGCAACTTGTCAAAGCAAAGTAATCTTGACTAGTAAAGGAATAAGCACTAGTAGCACTATATTAAAACAAGTGTCTTCACTATTGGATTACTATTTAAAAATGGAAAAATAGGTACTAGTTACATTTTAGCTGTTTTAAGAAATAAATGTGAATATAGCTTGCCATAATCAGGGATCCATAAACTTGATCCAAATCCTATTGTGTTTGAGGCTGCACACATAATAATATGTTGAATATCTATTGACCTCAAGACAGACGATTGTGATTGCAGATGCATACAGATGTGTTTTTGGAGTGCAGTAGTTGGGCTGTTAATAGCTATTTGGAGCAAATGAGAATGACAGTCTCTAAGCACGATGCGCAGCTCTTGCGAAGAGCAGTGAGTGGAGATGCATTTCAATGGGGTTAGAGAGAACAGCAGCCAAAATCTGTCACCAAGCATATATCACAATCCCATTCGTGTGAACCTGAAGGAAACTTCATATGTCTGCTTAAAATCAAAATAGGGCCATTTGGTTAAGAGTAATTGCAAAAATAGCTCATAAAAGTGAAGTTGGTTCTGAGAAAAAGTCTAGCATCATTTCTTTGCAGATGCCAATTGATATTATATACGTTTATAACTTTGCAACTTCAGGGATCTTATTTATTCACGAACAGCTTGTAACACTCCAAAGAGAAAGGAAAACTTGAAATCGCATCATATGACCCCTTTAATACTCTTAAGTACTTTTTCGGGGCCACTATATTTAGGGTCCTCATATCAGCTGTGTTATGCATACTTCAAAGGATGAATTGCACAAATGTTAAACCTATTCTGAATAGAAAGCTTGTGAACACCCACATTGTTTCCCACCTACGCTATCTGCATCGTTCAATCTGTCCCGTTCTCCATGGTAGCATGGAGAGGGGTTCGATAATCAATGATTTGATTCACCCATTTGGTCAGATGTTTTGTTGTTTGCCATGTTGGGCATCAATGACATCTTACAGTTACGTAAGAGCGCTTGAAGAGTGAAAGCATGGAAAATGCCTTGAGCTGTTCACAGAGCAAGGCTATTTATAGACTGCTGTATGAATTATATAGTATGGTTTTGAAGAAGATGCTGTTGCATTTTGCACTGCAAGTGTCCATAAACTGTTAGTCATAACATAAGTTTGTCATATCAGATTCATTTTGATATTTTGGTCTTTTAAAGGGATAGTTCACACACAAATAAAATCGTCGTCATTTATTTATGCATGTTGTTCCAAGGCTGTATGAGTTTTAGGGATGCACCGATATTCAAATTCTAGCCAATATCATATGATCATTTTTTCTGATAATTATGTTATGGCCAATAAATAATAAATGGTTTTGCTGTTTGTGCTTTTTACATAATTAAATTGTTTTTTCATATTGTGCATTCTTTTTTGTAATATTGTACATTACAATGTTGCCGTTGCAATATTATTATGTACAGTATAAAAAAATAATGAAAAATATATTTATCTAAATAAATGAAAAAGAAAACACTAAAATCATTACATTTTGGCATTGCAACATTATAATATACAATATCGATAGTTAATACTTTGTAGCTATTTTTCTGAAGATTTATTAGAGATGCATATTACATCGATACCATATCGGTTATTGGCCAATAATTTTATAATTTATCGGTATTGCCGATAACCAATATGGTACAGATGTATCATGCATCTCTAATGATTTTCTTTCCAAGTATGCTTTTTTGTGTTTTGTTTAAATGAATGTATTTTGTCTAAATGAAAAATTAAATACTAAAATCTCCATTGCAGCATTGTAATGTACAATATGAAAAAATACTTTTTTATATTTTTCTAAAGATTGCATTTGACAGTATTATTAAATTAGTGTTTAAAGATTAACTTTAAGTGAGCATTATATAATGAAAAAGGTAATATAAATGTAAAAACAGCGAAAATAATATTATTTATTCCTGAAAAAAAAATTATTAGAGATGTATGTTATCAGCCAATAATTTTTCTAATTTATTGGTATAATAATTTTCTTACTACGAATTCTAACAACATTTTCATTTTTGTGTGAACTATAGGAAATAAACTGTTTCCCAAAGAATCTATTTGGGTTAGTTTTGGTTTAGATTGGTTTAGTATATCTGTGGTTAGGCCCAAAAGAGTTAAGTCGACCTGATAACTGTAGCCCTCCCCATTCAAAATATCTCTCTAAATGATCAGTATGGCCCCTGCTAGTTAGTTTTCCATTGGCCTACCATGCATGGGAAGCTCAGCGGAGCCAAAGTAGAGCGATCAATTGTGTTTGCCTCGCCTAGCGTGTGCTTCAGCGCTGTGCTTCTGAGAGCATGAGATTACAAGAGATGGAAAGCGACGGAGAGAAAGGGTGGAGGAGCTCGAGAAGGACTTACAGCTGGACAAGGCACTGGCTGTGATCTGGAGCGAAATTCACTGTCTCCATGACGACATTGAGTTCATGATGGATTTGATACAAAACGTAAATGAGGATGTGGGCTTCACCTCATCCCATGTGTCCTCCCTTCCCTAGCCTCTTGGTTTCCCAAAGTTTGTGTTTGGGCTAGAAAAGCACTCAACCTCCTTGTTGGCCTGTAGCTGTTTTGGTGTGTTACTTTCATATGTGCTTAACAGATCTTATCCTCAAATTAGCAAAATTCTATGTTATCCTTTGTTGTGGTATCCCTGCATGTGAGATTAGGAGTCGCTAAGTCGTTATCCAGTGTAACTAATGGTAATATTAGCATAGCCTTTAAATCTTTCCTCTGAAGTCTTCTTGAGCCCTGTTTTGAGAGGGATAACAGTAATGGAGGAGCCGTTCTGCTCTATAATAAGTGGAATGTGGAGTAAAGCTGTGCTCTCTTCCAGCAGAGGAATCTGGAGGGTTATGTCGGCTTCGCCAACCTCCCCAACCAGGTGTACAGGAAGTCCGTGAAGAGGGGGTTTGAGTTCACACTCATGGTTGTCGGTAAGTCGCAAAATTCTTTTGCTCACCTGGGACAAATTCAAATGTTTGCAGATTAAAGTTTTTATAAGGTTTTAGACATATAACAAGTAAATATTGTGCTTCCATTTCCAGCTAAATTAAGTTTGGATGTAATTAAGTGTAATTAATTTTGTTCTTAAAAATGAATGTTAATGCTGATTTTTTATTTTTAAACAAAAACTGGATGTAATTGTGCCTTTAGAAAACATTCAGGAAACATTCATATAACGTTAACAGTTGATACACATACGGTTCAATTTGACATTGCAAGTCTTGTGTGAAAGGATGTGAAACTATTTTTTTTTTAATTAATTTAATGCTGAAAATTTATAAATTTTTATATATTTAGTTCTATTTGCATCTATTATTTATGATGTAATCATGGCAACATAGTTAAACTTTTATAATACTAATGACATGAAAAGATTAAAAAAGAAAAGATGAGGTTTTAAGTTCACATTCACATATTGAAATGATGGTGATGTCATAATTAAGTTTTTTATTTATTTATGGTATTCACTGAAAAAAAAGGTAAAATATGATGGTAACAGGGTTGTGCATAACATGGGACACAAAATTTTAAGTTATTTTAATAATACATAGAAAAATAAAATCTTAAAAAAACACAAAGACAAAATGCTGGCTTTTAATTCCATGTATTTTTTAAATCTAAAATTTGCTGATAATATTTAAGCAAGAACAGGCCTAAAACTGCATAAAAATAAGAAGAAAATTAAAATTGTAACAAAAAATACATAGTAATGTTGACATCGGTGATTATTTGAAAAAGTCTCTTTTTACATACATGAGGAACACAAATGACACTTGTTTTGTAAAATGATACACAAAATGAGATTGCTGTGGTTTGTTGTTTGCTTTAAGTAAATAATCTGTCTGTGGCTTTGCATGAAAGTGATTTTTTGCTGATGAACGAATGAGTAAATGCCCACATACAAGAGTAGATAGATGAGAAACGTTTGGATGATCAATACTGTTGTCACCATCACACTCTCTGTGGTTTGGATGCTGTGACTAAAGCTGTATTGGAAATATGAATCTCAGTGACATAACTGCTGCGGAGCGCTTCGCCATAGTAACTGGCTTTGTGTCTGTTAGCACTTGCTTTCCAGCTCTGGTGTGAAATAATCTCTTTATTTTTTCTGTTCCTCTATTCCTCTTCCAAGTTGTTACTCATTCTGTGTCTTTGTCTCTCACTCATTCCCTTCCTCTGTTATATAGGCTAGTTGTCTAGTTTGCGGTTTCCTGTTTGGTAAACCAGCCTTTTGAGATACTTGTACTGGTGCCAGGAGTTAGTCTAGTCTAGCGCACTAGTCTTTGTAGAAAGCGGAAGAACAGAAAGCTGCTTGGTTTGAAAGTAACTTTGCTACTGTAATGACAATGGACCATTTTAACCAGTAAAATTTTGCTGGTTAAAATCTAGTCTTTGTAGAAAGCTGGTTGTGTTGCCTTGAAGATATGTGGCCCTGTTAAGTAAATTTACAGTGATCGCAAGTGTAAATGTGTGGTCACATTAGCAATATTTTAGCAAAATTTTACTGGTTAAAATGGTCCATTGCCATTACAGTAGAAAAGATACTTTCAAACCAAGCAGCTTCCTGTTCTTCAGTGCGGTGAAATTGTGTGACCATCTTGAACATGAACAAAATCTGCATGGGGATCTTTTTTCAAACGCACATGAAATGACTGGAGTTTATCCACAAAATTTTGCTGAGCTCCAGTAAATGTGACCTAAAATATCAAACTTTCATCCCGACTGTTTTGTTGACAATTTAGCCTTTAGCTGGTCTATCTGTTTTTGTTTTGTAATCATTTAAGATTAAAGTTTGAAATTGTATAAAATATACAATAAGTATAAGATATTTGCATACAGAATTGCGATTGGTCTTGAATAGGGATTGGTCTTGCGGTAAAAAATACAGCAAAAACAGTAATATTTTGAAATATTTTTTACAGTTTAAAGTAACTATTTTTAATTTTCATATATTTTATAATTAAACTTATTCTTGTGATGGTAAAGCTGAATTTTCAGCATCATTACGCCAGTCTTCAGTGTCACATGATCCTTCAGAAATCATTATAATATGCTGATTTGCAGCTGAACAACAACAACAAAAAAATATTTTATTGACACCAAACATTTGAACAGTAGTGTATTTATTAGGGCTGGGTAAAAAATATTGATATCTCGATAATAATCGATTCTCATTTTTACAGAACGATATCGATTCTTAAATCCCAAGAATCGATTAGTCTAGCCTGTTTTCAGTTAATGGACGGAACATTGAAGGGCACTTCCCATCCAATATATCGCAATAAGCGTTGTGCTTTGGTACTTTTAATATGAAAGTCTCAGATTTCAAATTCTGTCCAATGTATTGCAGTATTACAATAAATGCCATTTTGGTGCTGTTTAATGTGGAGTGACAGCTCGCTGTAGCGCCTCAGTTCAACAGACGCGAGGCACACTGAACTGATCATCTCCTCCACATTAATACCAGTTTCAGCACAAAATAAACATTACTAAACATCCGAAGGTAAGTTAAAAGAAAGAGTACGACTTTACAATCCGTATCCTGTCTCATGTAATCGCTCAATCAGTGTTTTCTCCCCGCAAAGACGTCAATATAACGTCTTGTAAACAATGTCACGTAACGTCACATTTACCCGATGACCATAAACTCATTAGTCAGCTAGAAAAATAAACTGTAGAGAAGGGCATTTTGCTAAATATATGCACCATATAACATGTTCATGATAAATTTTACTGTTCTTCGATGTTTAATTTATGTTTGAATAAATCCATCATTTTATGACAGCCACCATTATGTTTATATTAAAAAAAAAAAAAAAAACGAATTGAAGTAGAAATATTATGTAATTGTAACTTTGTTTTAAAAACTTCATTAAGTGAAATTAACATCAATTAATTTTAATCTTCAATATTATAATAATGTAGTACCAACTGACTCTCGTATATATCTTACAGCATTAGCATGTACTGTACCTGATATATATCCAAAATCATTTTGAATCGAATCGAATCGCAAGCTTGTGAATGAGAATCGAATCGAATCGTGAAATTTGTGTCAAAACCCAGCCCTAGTATTTATACAATGAATAGCACCACTGATCTTAATAAATGCCAATCTAGTAAGTATCAGTATGTGTCTTTAAGTGTTTCTCTTTTAATAATATTGAAATGCCACATTTTACCTCAGAAACAAGTTTCCCCCTCCACATAAATGCTCTCTAAACAGGATTTTGCATATATGTTTCACAAACTGGGCTGAAAATATGACGTAGTCTAACTATCTAAGTGTAATGGGGGTTTTGTATCTACTTATAACTGTCTTCAGGCACATCCAGTGGCCTTTTAAAGAACAGAACTGAAAACTGCCATCTTGTTCTCTTGCCACTCATCCTGACAGACACCACAGGGCTTTGGCTGAGGACTCCATTTTTCCCTCCAAAATTTCAGGGAGGAAAAAATCTGTTTCCTGTCTTTTCTCTCTCTCTCTCTCTCTCTCTCTCTCTCTCTCTCTCTCTCTCTCTCTCTCTCTCTCTGTCTGTCTCCCTTGTGTTTTTTTTCCACAAGCATTTCCTTTCTTGAGCTTTCCCTCTCAAACCAGCTGGCAAAATGTTTCTTCAGGGAGAAACCATTGGAAAATGTGAAGAGTTTTAGAGGTTAGTTTTTCAAATTGAGTTATCTGAGGCGTGTTTGAGGTGCAAGAACAGGCCACAAAAAGATTCTCAAAGTGAAATAAAACCTTGAAGTTTGTAGTGTTGTTAAAAATATGGTTTAGTCTGTTTTATTAACTGTTATTCAATCTGTGTGGTAGAATTCACACCTGTACAAGCAATGAACAGAAAAAAAATCGTAAAATTTCATGCATGTTTTCGTTAATTGCGCTGTTTGCGTTCCTTCACAGTAACAACTCCGACAGCTGTGTTTGGACAGAACTTGAGATTTTTTTAAGTGATGATTTTTCTAATCGGTAGCTGAAGTCTTAAGACCTGACATGTTATTGAATTCCAAGTCATTCAGAGATATTTTCAACAACACGGCAGCAATTTGTCTGGTGTGGCTGCACTAGTGTAGCTAGTAGCTACTGCTAAGAGCTGTACATTAGCATGCTTTAGGTCCGTTTAAAAGGTCCCTGCCTGAAACACGGACAAACACAGGGAGGAGATTTTAATCCCTGGATTATGAAGCCAAAGCTTCCCTTCTCTGGCCTACCAACAGGTCATCTAACAAGCCGGTCATAGAGCTAAGCCTGTCAGACAGTCTTAGTCCACACATGCTAATGTATCCGCCAGCGCACAAACAAACACTGGCGTATCTCTGGCTTTTCAAATAAACACTCTTTTAAAGTTTCTTTCAAGTTGAAAAGGCTTAAATATTTTAAGTTTATGTATTTTGTGCAGGACTTCTGAGGTTCTCAGCTCTCGATGGCTGAGTGTATTTACTACAAATAATACCACAGTAATTTATTATGTTTTAATTTCTTATTCAAAATACTTTAAAGTTTCATTTGTAAAAGCCACCAAATTCATATCCCATTCTGCTTTTAAAGTGTCTAATTGTTCATTTATTTACTGTCAATTTCAACATATTTATGAAAATGATTCTAAATCATTCCAAAACCAAATGGCAGAATTCATGACAGTTTGCATGATTTATTAAAGAACTTCAATATCTATACACTCAATGGTGAAATGTAGCTTTACAGATCTTCTGTCACATTATGGGAAGTGAAGTGTTTGAATTAACTGCATCATTTTAACCACATATTTCACATAGGTTCCTGGAGAGCTGGTTTGGGACTTCTGAGAAATATCATGTGGACTGTGTATCTTAAGCAGGGTCCATGTGGTTAACATACCGACTTTTAATCGTGTGAAGACTGCTATGAATGAGAACAATAGCTTTTGGAGAACCATTACTCTACCATCTGAAGCATTTCTTAAAGCGGTTTTATATAATATTACAGATTCAGTACAGAAATTGATGCATGTGGCATAAACATAGTCCATAGCTTAGGGCAGAATTATGTGTGTTTAAGAGTCTTGCATTGCCGGTGGGGAACATCTAACTCATTTCCACCATATCTGCATGTGAGTTAATGTAGAGTGTGTATGCTGATCGAGCATGTTCAGTGTGTAACATCACTCGTGTCACCTCATGGATCTTATTTTTTATGTAGGTCAGATTGATTTTCCTATTTGAAGTTACTTGTGTGTGTGTGTGTCCATGGGAGTTTTTTCAAAGCGTTGCTGATTGTTATCTCAGGCTGTTCGGAGATGAACTCTGACCTTTGTTGCCGAACAATGGATCTTATCACTACAGGAGCCCCTCTCCGAAAACTAGTTAAACACACACTTGCTATCACACTTGCATTCTCACGTCCTTTAAAATCAGTAACTGTACTAAATACTTGATCCCAAAGCTCTAGTTTGTTCTGACTTGTTCAAATTAAAATAGTTTTTCCTGCTGTTTATTTGCACCAGCAATTCAACTTTGTTTATGTGTTGGGGTAGTGGGGCCTCTCTTTCGCCCACTGTCCGCTATCTGTTTGTTAAGCAACTGTACGGCAGCAGTGCTTGAGCCCCTTTTATGAGGGGAAAAGAGTGAGTGAGTGAGCGCGCAGAAAAGACAGCAAGAGATGGGATAGCTGGGATTGGATGGAGGGCAGGAGAGTGGAAAAGAGGTGGAGATGGGGAATTGTCAGGATGTCTGAGCCCAGTAATGGGCCCTGGGGTGCTTTCTGGCCCAGAGCGTGATGATGACAGGAAGAGGTAAAAAGATGAAAGTCAAGAAGAATGTGTGGAATATCTTGGAAAGTTTGTCCATTCGTCCCAGTCCTCCCATCCGCCCATCCATTTAGGGTAGTAGCAATTAATAAGGGTAGAGAAGTAATCTCTCAGTCTAAATAGGGAAGTTTGATTAATTGATGATCGATTAATTATCATAATTAACAATCCATGTTAAAACACTTTTCTAAATGATTAAATGGATAGTTTACCCAAAAATTAAAATAATGATTAATTTACGAACACGAAAGATACTTTGAAGAATGTTGGAAACCAAACCACATTAATTAAAAATATATATTATTTTTCAGTTTTCATTTTAAGTTTTAGTCATTTTGTAATGCATTTTTGACATTTTTTTCTATTTCTATTTAACTTAATTTTTGAAAGTTTTTTTTTTTTTAAATAATAATAAAAAAAAAAGTTCTTTTAATTTTTTGTTTTTTAAAAGTATATTTTACTATATATTTATATTTTAATCATTTTACTTTGAAACGGCATGAGAGTGAGTAAATAGTGACAGAATTTAAATTTTAGGGGTGAAGTATAAAGATTTTTTGGGCCATAGATTTTTTTTAAAAGACATTATTTAAAAGACTTACAGACATACTGCATGAAATGCTGGTGACTTTTGAACAGGGCTGTGCAATTAATCGCATGCGATTATCATGCGCATCTCGTCAGTAAAGCCGGTTCTGTGATTAGTAGTAAATCTCCATCACCTGCTTTCAGATGGAGCGGTATTTACTACACAGAGCCGTAGTTCACTGACAAGCTAGGCAATATCGCATTCATAATTGCAGATGAATTGCATTCAATTATGAACGCGATATTGCCTAATTGTCAGTGAACTACGGCTCTGTGTAGTAAATGCCGCTCCATCTGAAAGTGGAGTACTAATCACGGAACCGGCTTTACTGACGAGATGCGCATGACAATCGCATGCGATTAATTGCACAGCCCTACTTTTGAACACCATTTGCCCCCCACTTTTTCAAGCTAAATGCAAACCGTGTTAAACTGGGTCAGGAAGTGATGCTAGCATGCCCCTTTTATTCTGAAATGTCTGTTCCCCTTATAGCCTGTCTGAGTTTAGTTCAGCGTAAAGCCAGTGGAAATAGGGTCTATTTATCTGCACTATGTGGTTGTGCCAGTCTATTAGCACTGCTATAGACTTTTTCCTCTGTTTAATGGTTTTCCAGTGTCTCTGTTTGTCCTAGCTGGTGAAGCACATGTGCTGTATCCCTTTTGACTGGAGTAGAAAAAGAAAGACATTAAAGGGTCCAAAACGAGACCGGGAGGTGAGTTCACTCCATTCATCCGTGGGTCTGATAAAGGTCAGCCAACTGTGAACTAGACCTGGGTCCTTGCTGTGTGACTGAAGCATCTCGTTTTCAGAGATCATGCAGACCGATATTTAATTAAAAGAGGGGATAAGGCTAATTGGGTCTGGTTTTGCCCTGAGGGGGTGAGAGGGAAAGAGAGGGAGAAACAGGGCATTAGAAATATCTGGAGCTGGAGGGTAATCTATTATTCTCAGCCGTTAAAGCAGTGGCATTGGGATTTCATGAATACATCCTGCTGTGCGGTTTCTGTCAAACACAAGCTTTTACTAGCCTAAACTAACCTCTGCAAATGGTTTGAGCAAACAAATTTGCAATGAATTTAGATTTTTGTTTGTTTTCACAAATATTTTAGGTGGTTTTAACCAATCAGTTATGTAATCAAAAGTAAACCGCAACAATAACAACAACAATTATTTATTATATAGCAATTTATTATTATATTTATGAAAATAATTGTTGTGATCTGAATGGTTGCAAAATGTATTTTTGTCTTAGTTTTGGGACTATATCTAACTTTTACCAGTGTAACCCATTGTTTTTATCATTAAATAAAACTATTAAAAAGTAGTTTTTGATAATTGAAATACAGCTGAAAAAATATATAAATATTAGAAAAAAAATCTTAAAATTAGAAATGTTGCCTTAGTAACTAACTGAAATAAGTTGAAGTACTAAAATGAAAGAAATAAATTAAAACTTAATAGAAATATTTAAAAAATGACAAGCACACAACAAAATTATTAAAACTTTAAAACTAAAATTAAAATGAAAACTGAAAATATATAATCTATTTTGTAATATTTATAAATAATATAATAGTAGCCTATATAAATAATACTAAAATAAAGCTAGTGTTTCGGCGCCAACAGCCTAGTGGGCAGTGTGCCGACAGAAAATGCCGTTATGTTACGGGCGTCCCGAGTTCGAATCCCGGCTCGAGGGCCTTTCCCGATCCCACCCCTCTCTCTCTCCCAATTCACTTCCTGTCTGCTCTCCACTGTCATATCATAATAAGGACAAAACACCAAAAAGAAATCTTTAAAAATAACGCTAGTTAAACATGTACATTTTGAATATATGGAACTTGCTGTAACCCTAATTTGTTTGAAATGTATTCAAATGTTATCGCTAGTTAGCATATGTTATATCCTGCATATGTTAGTGGGGGAAAAAAGTGCCGTTTCCCCATGGTCTTGTTGTTGGTACATGGCTTCCATTAAAATGCCATGTATTCAAATGCATTAAAAAGTGTAAGTGCAGACAGACCAAACACTACTCTGTCTCTCTCTATCTGTCTCTCCTCCCCCCTTTCCTTCTCTTCCACTGGTCGCCTCAGTTTCAGGTTGCTGACGTCCTCTCATCTTCCCCCCCAACCACACACACATAGATGCTCTCACAGTCCAGTCCCTCTGTCTTGTTTAGGTAAGTCTTTTTAGCCAGAGGCAAGGAGGCGTAAATTTACTTAGAAGACAGAGGGTGGGTTTGGTGTCTGTGTGTTGTCTCTGGCATAGCACAGAGAATCTTAAGTGTGTACTGTGTATGTGTCCAAATGTTGAACCGTTTTGGCTCCATAGGATACACTGGTAACTGCTCATACTTTGCTTGATGTTATAATCAAGCCTAACAATCCAATCAAATATCAATGAACAAATCAAATTATTTACTACTGAATATTGGTTTCTTCTTACAGTTGGTAAATGTCCACATTGGGCTTGGTGTAGTAAATGAATAAGGCAAGATTGGGAAGCTCAGTAGCAGAGGATTGTCAGTGGGAAGATTGTTTATTGAGAGAAGAAGCTTTCAACACCCCCTCTTGAAGCCTAGGATCAAGCTTGTGTCAAAAATGTGGAGTGAGAATGTGTATTTGAGTGGGTGAAGATGGTGTACATTGGTGGTCTTTTCTGCCAGATGAGCCCAAGCGTTCCCTTCCCCCAATTCAAGAGATGTTTAGAATGACACAGCCTCTTGCTCATCAGTTGTAAAGAGAAATGTGGAGTTGGCTAGAGGGAATGGAGCAAGCAATGTTGTTTTATTACTTTAGAATAAAAGAGCTTTCTCTCTCTCAGTCTTCCTCTTTGTCCACAATGCTTTCCCAATAATACCCATGAATCTGCTGTCATTTGATTACTGTCTTCAAGAAGTTTTGGCTAGGCTCCCACATGTTCCATTAGTTGGCTCAAAAACAACAAACTAATTGTGTGTTTCTGTGTGGGTGGATGGATGTGAGAAAGCTTGTGAGGATCAGTAGAGAATATCATATTCTTCACCTCCTGTTTTTAAGTATGGGTGTCTCTGTCTGTCTCTTGCATTTGGCATTTCATTCTGGCACAAGTTAAGCACAGCAACTTACCATTTTTTGTTTGCCGCTTTTCTGTTCTAGGTGAGTCTGGACTGGGCAAATCCACGCTTATCAATTCCCTCTTTCTGACAGACCTGTACTCCAAAGACTACCCTGGCCCATCTCAAAGGATCAAGAAGACTGTTCAGGTATGTCCTCTTTAGCTGACCTTTGACTCCTGATACTGATCCAGTGGTCTTCCCTTTATCTAACACTATCTCTATGTTAGTTTTCTCTCTCTTTCTTCCCTTACATTTGACCCTTTATCTCTAGCCACCATTATCTTCCACTGCCTTGCAGCCAGATGTGACAGAGAGAAGCAATGAGGGAGGCTTCTAAGGTCTGATTTCTTATTCTTACCTTGGACCAGAAGTTGGCAACCTTTTTTGTCGTGAACAAAGTGCACCATTCGAGATGAACTGTGCTACCCAACTGTGCAACATTTTGTATAACGCAGAATACCAGTTTTTTTTCTTGTATGCCCCCACTGTTGTGCTGCAGGAACCAATTTTTGGTCTGTCTGAGATGATTTTGTTGGCGAAACTGGCCTGCGTGGTGCTATCAGCAAGTTGGGGAAGTAAACCAATCCACTCTGCGTTATCCAGGGGTTACACATACAGTTGGGACCCACTGCTCGTCTCAGTTGAGCAGCATAGTTTTGATACTTTTTAAGTGCTTCTTGTTAGATTAGCTGCATGACTATGAGGAAAGATTGGGCCTTATTGCATTAATCACACTCACACACTCAAGATTGCTTTTTGTCTTGGCAATTTCAAGTCAACCAACATGCAAGTGCATTGAGACCGCTGGAGTGCAGAGCACCATGCAGGCTCAAGCAATCACAAACAGATTCCTGCCTTCTGAAGGTCCCAGGCCAGAGCAAATGCTCCCAGACTTCCCAGAGGAAAGAGACAGCAGAGTTTTGACCTTATATGGATTTGATAAACAAGGCGAGAACAGATGCTGAGGCTGGAACATCAGAAATGGGGGAGGATACACTGAAAAGAGCTTGCGGTATGATGGAGTGACTCAATTGGAGTGTTTTTTGAAGAGGATGGGAGGGGCAATATGAAGGGGTCTAGATTCCTCTGGAGGCAAGTAGGGTTCAGTAGAAGGTCAAGAATTTTCCCACGAAACCCAACACCCGGCAATGACTTTCCCACCACCCTTGAGATGGGATGTGTTCCGAGGCGGCCCGGCCCTTTCTGGGGTTTTATGTGCAGCCACACTCGGTTCTCCGCTATCTTGATGAACAAACTCTGTCTTTGTTGACATCATGAGTAAGTTCACTGTTGAGGTTTGGATCCAAGTTGTTTTGGACCTTGGTCAAGCTTGGATGACATGACATGTCCTTTCTGAGGCAAGTTATTTCACTTAGTGTCCAACTTGAAAAAGCTATCCAATCATGCATGTACATCTCCTGTCTACTTGAATGGGGAAAGATTGAAATTTCAAGAACTTGTCTGCCATACTTTTTTTTCAATAACAGAGGGATGTCCAGTTCTGCTCCTAAAATGCCACTATCCTGCGGAGTTTAGCTCCAATCTTAATTAAAAACACCTGAACTGGCTAATCAAGGTCTTCCGGATTACTAGAAACTTATGGGCAAGTGTGTTAGAGCTAAACTCTGCAGGACGTTGGCCCTCCAGGAGCAGGATTAGACGTCAAATCACCAATAAAATCTGACTGATATCATAACTGGTCCAGCAAATGCATTTGTCTCTTGCAGCCGCCATGTCAAACCCTGTCCCCAATGACGTCCTAAGTCCTTGCAGTCCTCCTCCAAGTCCACACATTAATGATGTAAAGCCACATAGACTGTCGTATACAAGTCAGCTGTGAAGACAGCATCATTGAATGCTCTTGAGCACCCTTCTGAAACCTAAAATGACAAATGGGACACCCTACAGCCTCACAGACTTCACATACACAGGACAGTGAAAAGGGCTTCAAATGTGATTTATTTCTGCTCTTTTTTTTTTTTTAATGAGAAGCCGGTGTTTTCATCATATTGTATCTGTTCACATGGATCAAAGTTTGGGGGTTGCTTGTTTAGGGTTATTTGCTTTTCTCACAGCTGTGCAGAAACCAACCAAATACAACCTCCACATCATCTTACAGTTTGAATCCAGCAACTGTGGCATCTGTCACCCAACATTTAAACAAATCCATTCTCATTTGTTGTGAGGTGATGTAAAACCAAGGGACATTGCTTGTTCTCACTGGAATTCGGTGGAAGATTCATCCGAGGCGGCACCTCTTTGTTTTTACCACAAAACTACTAGAGATTTTTGATTTGATCTTGCCACTTGCCATAGTCTTACCTGGATTTCACAAATGAAATCTGACATTTTAAATTTTCTCCTGTCCGTGCTTTCCTCTTCAGACTAGGGCTGGGTGATATGACGATATTATTGTATATTGACGATGTCTCGTAAGTATCGCGATGTCGATGTCAACAGTCAGGTAACAGACGATTATCGACATTATCGGGAAAAAAAAAGACAAATGATAAACCTAGTAAGTTGCCAAAATATTTTACATAGCCCCCCTAGTTACCATACAGGTCTTTTTGCATGCAAGAATGACATTTTTTTTATAGTAAGATGGTTTGGAATCGAAAAGCTATTCCAGTTTTGGAAATCAGATGCGTAGGGTCAGGAATCAAATTACTTGTTATAAAATAAAATTTCGATTTTGTTTCTTGATTTCTGTACGCGCATTTAATGTGATTTTATAGGATTCAACTGCAAGAAAACAAAATAGAACTCACTTCTGCACTCGCGCGCTGTTTTCTGTGCTGCGCAACAACACAAAAAGCCGCCTCACATAGCCTACGGGAACACTGGACTGAACTCTCTTTCTCGCATTCTTACACATTCGAATGAACAAATACACACATAATTAATAATAAAAGTTAAACAGAAAAAAAGATAAATGTCCAACTTCACCATGATGAACTTAAAATTGGGCTCTATTATTTTTCCACACAAAACGAAATTCATTTGAAACACAAATTTGATAAGAACAGAGTAGACATTATTAGCAACACCAACATAACAGCAAATAACCGGCCCCCGCGATAATCTCTCTGTGCTGGGGTGCGTCGAAAGACGATGTAGGCTATGGAGGATATAGCCAGAGATATTGTCAAAAGCATCAAATATTGGCAATATTAAGAGCATTTGGCATTTCCAATTAGGACTGTTACATTCTTCTTATTATTACGCCTGTTATTATTATTATTATTATAGGTTACATTTATGATTAAATTAATATTACAATATAATAATTAATTTGCCCCCCAATAATTTTATAGCGCATCACCGCATAACTGACGCACTGTGAGCAAAATAAAAGATTAGGCTTTTAGCCTACTCCTCATTGAAAATGTTTTAAAAAAGATCTTTCAAAATTAACAGGCCTATAATTAAAAATATTTACACTGCAGTTATCAATGAAAATTAAGAGCAGCTTTATTTCACGCACCAACTTTGAACAACTTTCAAAAGCAACTTGTTTAATGCTAAATGCATTTCTTCTCATTTTTTTTTCATTATGTTTGGGCCACAAACAGTTAAATATCGTTATCAGCATGAAGTAGATTCGTCTCTCGTCGTCTCCTGAGAGAATATGCGCCATTAATGCAGCGTCAGATGCCAAAAGCTCCGTCAGGTTTCACTTGCACTTTCTGAGATTAAGACGTTCACCTGCATAAGTTTGCACGTTGCTTGTGTGATATCCATTGGCCTCACCTACATGGTTTAAAACATAAATAGTTACAATATTGCGATGTATCCCAACCCCGACATGTGGTTCGCGGGGAGACCCGCGGATTTGCGTTACGCCTGAACATGGTGTGTGTTTATGGTGCATGTCGTCAGTGTTGTCTCGGCGGGGGCGGGGGCGGGGGCGTGGCCTGGTGGAGGTGGGACTTGGCTAGATGATATTATCGGATATCGCAATATTTTTTAAGGCGATTATCGATAAGATATTTTTTACATATCGCCCAGCCCTACTTCAGACCCCATTTAACCTTATCTGGCGTTTTCCCTGGTGGCAGGATGCTTTCTGCCATACAGTTCGTCTTGAGCTGTTCCACCATGAATGCCCGTGGTATAAATTTGTCAGCCTGGCCAAAGGCCATGTTGTGATGTGTGGCTGTCTAGTCCTCTGTGGTCACTTCAGGCAGGACATAGAGTCAGCGGCGAGAGTATTTATATTCCAAAACAATCTGCAGTGTTTGTCATAGCAGCCACACAAGGGCCGCTCTGTTTGCGTCGAATAAAAGTCTTGACATTTTTGTGGCTTTAGGTTTCTACATTTTCATTTATTTCTTTTTCTGTCTTGTTGCAAACTGAAGTGGCCTGATGTGCCTCATAAACATCCTAGCATAAGCGAGAATGGAAGAGCCTTATTAAGGTTCACTCCACTTCCATTCCCCTCATTTTCGCTTTCTCTCACTTTCTTCTCCTCAAGTCTCACCATTTTCTCCCTCCCACTCTCTCCTCTTTTTGAAGAACTAAGAAAGGTTGTGGTTGTTGTTTTTGTTAGTGAGAAAGTATATGTGTGAATGAGAGTGCAGTTTTAGAAAAAGGGGGTCAGCCAAAAATAACCAGGCCTGTGAGAATAAGCTGGTTTTTAATGAAAGCAGCTGAAATAACTTCAGGAGATGATGAAGCTGAATCACATTGGAGATGATTATTTCAGTGTCTCACCTTGGTGTCTGATACTGGCCTAACCTAGAATGCAACTAATGTAGAAGATGATGCAGAAACTCTCACGAGACCACATCTGTTGCTAGCAAGGGGAAGGATGATGATTTATAAATTGACGTCATTTTAAAAACATGAACATGTTTGTATGTAGCAGCAGTGAATTTAAAGTTGCACCTTTGTTTTAATACAATAAACTAGTCAATCTCACTATTTGTTGAACCAACTAGCCGACCATGTTACCTTGTAAATGCTTATTTGTTATTAGCATCTTTTGTATGACATACAGCTATAACATTCATCAATGTTTATGTTCTAGGGTCATCTGTGACCTTTTGGTTTGACACAGGTGCAAAATTTGGTGCAAAAAGTATTAACCAATCTTTCCACTCACATGTTTGTGGTTTGAGTTAGTTAGCATTGATGTTGTGCCAGTGACATGAATCTGGAACAAACAGGCAAGGTTGCTGTCCCAGGCTAATTCACATAACCTGTGGTGACAACTTGTGGTCCTGCTTTCAGGTGGAACAGTCCAAAGTGCTGATAAAGGAGGGGGGCGTCCAGCTCACGCTGACCATCGTCGACACACCAGGCTTTGGAGATGCGGTGGACAACAGCAACTGGTGAGTTTAAGAATTTTGGGGGCATTTCAGATTCTTGGATAAAGTCAAAAGATAAGATTATGTTGGGTGTTATATTGGTTTTAAATCTGTTGTGATGCAATGACTTATCAATCTTTGCATCTGACTTTGCCTTTCATCAATCCTTCTCTTCTTTCTTTCAGCTGGCAACCCGTCATCAACTACATCGACAGTAAGTTTGAAGACTTCCTCAATGCTGAATCCCGGGTAAACAGGAGGCTGATGCCTGACAACAGGGTGCACTGCTGCTTGTACTTCATCGCCCCCTCTGGTCACGGGTGGGTACTGCACCCTGTACAAACGAGGCCTGGCATGAATCAACCAGCTTAAAATAGAAGCACCACACACACATGTCCTGATTTACACATTTAGCACTTTGCTCAGGAGTGGGATGATGTTGGAATTTTGTACATGAATACCGTACGACTGTGGTACAATGAAGACATCAGACCATCAGACTGTGCATTGATTGAAATGCATTAACGGGTGAAATGGAGAGACAGAGGACATATGAGCACAGATGGAGATGCATACTACCCACACCCAGATCCAAAAGCCTTACATAATGCCTACTAAACTGGGCTTGACGTATGATAGGCATTGACTCGTTTATTTTTGGAAATGATTAGCTTATTTGGCTCATTTTTGCTGAAAATTATGATTTTTTTTTTATATCAGAAATGAGATTTGTATTTAAATTTATTGCAGGTGGGAAATTTATTGCAGGATTATTCTTTTTCTTTCTTTTTTATTGTAGTGGGTGTTTTTTTTATTTATCTTTTCAATGCAGTTATCTGTTGTTTTGTGATTTTAAAGGAATAGTTAAAACCTAAAAATGAAAATTTTGTCATTATTTACTCACCCTTATGTCGTTCCAAACCTTTCTTATGTTGAATGTAAAAGAAGATATTTTGAAGAATGCTGGTAATCACTTAAACATTTAATGGTCCCCATTGACTTCCATAGTATTTTGGAAGTCAGTGGGGAGCAGCAAATGGTAACAGCAGTTTTTATATTGCTTAATTGTACAGCAATATTAGTATAATTATAGTTTGTACAGTTAATTAATCATATTAATTTAGACATCATAATCCAAAACATGTAGAGTTAAACGTGCCTGTGTATGGCGTTTACAGAAATGTGTTTTTGGGTGTAGTTCTGTGCATACCTGTAGTGCTC